AACACTAAGTGTTCAAGTTTTTCCAAGGGTTCCAAAATGGCGTTCAAAGATGATCAAAAATGCACTGAAATGTGTTACGCAGGCAAGCTCATCGCCGTTCATTGCCAGCAACAGAAATGTGCAAAATGCCGGTAGGGGCGCTGTTCTCGCTCGCGTAACACATTTCAGTGCATTTTTGGCCACCTTTGGACGCCATTTTGGAACCCTTGGAAAAACTTGAAAACTTAGTGTTTTTTAACTTTTTGCTCAGCTCAAAAAGCTGAATCTACATGACAAGTTTCAAGTTCTAATTTTAAGTTTGAAAAATTTCTTATTTTTTGTTACCTCCTTTTTAAAACATTAAAACTCTCAAAACCATGTGCTTTTTGCTGATGTGTAATCGAACTTTTAAGCTTCTCGACCCGCCTTTTTAAAAGGAAGAGTCACCACTCTAGTGAGCCCACTCTACTGCGCTACGTGTCCTCACTGTCTGTCTTTGTCACCCTTCCTGTCACAGCTCAGCTCTTCTCTAACTCTCTCAAACTTTGTTGCAGTTCTTGCAAACTCCGCAACCCTCCTCTAGTGCCCCAAAAAATGGACGTGATCATCAAGCGCGGCTACACTGGCTTTGAGCGCGTCGGCGCCGGCGGCCAGGCGAACGTCTACCGAACGATGAAGGACGGCAAGGAGTACGCCATCAAGGTGGTGCCCGTCCAGCCGGAGGACCAGAAGAAGCTGGACGACGACCTGCGCCGAGAGCTGTCCATTCTGGGCGGCATCAAGCACCCCAACTGCATGAAGGTGGTGGACCTGTTCCGCTCAAAGGGGCACGTCTACATCGCCATGCCATTCATGGCCAACGGCACCGTCGGCGATGTGGTGGGCAAGCACGGCCCGCTCTCCGAGTGGAACTGCAAGGTCTGGTTTCCGGCCATGGCTCGCGCCGTCAAGTACCTCCATGAGCACGCCATCGCCCACCGGTAACTCGTGTTTTGCTATGCTATAAGGGGCAAATTTTATCATTCACCCCCTTCACTTGCAGCGACCTGAAGCTCGACAACATTCTCCTTGACGAGCACTACAACCCAATGGTCAGCGATTTTGGTCTGTACTGTCATAGTTTTGGTAACTTTAAAAAACACTAAACACCCTTTGTTCGTATGCCGCTGCCCCTAGGTTTCAGTCGTTTTGTGAAGATGTCCAGCAAAACTGGCGAGACCACCAAGAGTGACACCTACTGCGGCACCACCAGCTACAATCCACCGCAGATTCTCAAGCACATTCCCTACGACCCCTACAAAGGTTTGTGTGCTAGAGATAATGAAAAACCAGTGTGTAACCGTTTGTCACCATTTCCCCCCAGGCGACATATGGTGCTGCGGTGTGATGCTCTTCGTGATGATCAACCAGAACTACCCCTTCGACCGCCACGACG